CCTGGGGGCGGGACTGGCCAGAGTAAGCGGACCCTGACAGGAGCGGTCGGAGGGCAGGACTAGAAGGGGCCAGCAGAGGGCGGAGCCTGAGGGAGGGCGTGGCCCGGCCTGAAGCTGTCTCTGTAGCCTTAGCGCTCGGTCGTCACTTCCGAACCGCGGATCCCGCTGGCGCCTGCGCAGCATCGGTGTCCCCTGTTACCTCGCTTCGCTGGGTCCCGCCCCGCTGCCGCCCCTGTAGGGAAAAGCTCCCAGGTTCCCGCCAGCGTCCTCCGTCCTCGAAGCTCTTCTCCAGCAGTCCCTGTCCCACCCTGGAGAGCGTAGAGAGACCAAGGCCGGGAGCACCTCCTATCGTCTCGTCCAAGAAGCCCTCCTGGGGCCGAGGATTTGGCTCAGTGTTTCTGCCGCCTGCCTCTGAAGCGCAAGGTCCCGAGTTCGATCCCCGGTACCAAAAAAACCAAGAAGCCTTCCTGTGCGCTGAAGGACCGGCGAGAAAGGAAGGGTGGTGAGCCAGGGCTGGTTAATAACTACCCGATTAACCTAAGGCTAGCCATGTCCAACAAGAGGCTGAGTAATATTAAGCAGGAAATGGGATGGGGTGGGCACCCTGGAAGGGAGCCCAGGCAGCTGGGGCTGAGGGCAGTGAGTTTAGGTAGGGTGCTTTCCTGGGTAGCTCCAGGCCGGGCCTGATCACCGGTGAACACCGGTGAACACCGAGGAAGGCGGCAGTCAGCGCGCCCCATCTGTCTGATTCCTAGTCATTGGCTGCAGAACTGAAGGATCTGAGCCCCATCCCACCCAGCTGGCCTTGCCCCTCTGGATTCTGCCCTGGGCATTTGTAAAAAGGAGGGGAAATCCTCCAAGGGACTTTCTGCATTCTGGTAACCTAGGGTTCTATTTTTAAAAAAGGAAAAACCCTAAAATGCTTAATAATAATTTCAAACACCTGTCATCAGTCTAGCAGGGATTGGAGCAATATAGTCAGTCAAAATCAGAGTGAGTAGGCTGGGCTGCATCTGGAGGCCAATGGAATTCCTTCCCCTGGGCAGAGCCTGGACCACAGTCTGACTCATCAGCAACCTAACTGTTACGGGGTGGTTTCTTTAGCCAATCAAAAGCATTCCAGGTTCTTCATGCCTCGAACAAAGAATTGGACGAAACAAGCCAATAATGGTGCCAGAATGTTTATTTGAAAAGTGCGTGGTAAATGGGTATGGGGAAAACCAACTGCAGAGTGAACTTGAGCCAAACAAAGCGAAAAAGAGTTTAAAAGCAAATATAAAAGTACACCCCGAGTCTGAGAAATGCTAGTGTGGTAGCAGCTTTCTGTGATGGCCTGTCCTTTTTATGCTGTCCACTCCTGTGAGCTCTGGAGAAGTTCTACATAGTGGGTCCTGGCATAGCCCTGAGAACTTGTAATGGACAGATCCTGCTCACTTCCCCCAGCCAGCTTTGCCATGCCCTATCTTCTGTATCATAACAGCAGGAGTCTGCAAGTCCCCCCTTCTCCCAAGACTGCCTGGCCTCAATGGCTCTCATCTGTGAGCTATGACAAGTCATTAAAGTCACTGACTTCAAAAGAAGGGCAGACTTTGCTCATGCTTGCCTGGCTCTTTCCATGGTGTCTTTATTTTTGGTGGCCTTTGCTGAGGGCAGGGCCTGAGTTCTCACCTGGGAATCCTCAGCATCCAGGAAAGAGGCTGACAGGCACAATTGGTGGCATGAGCCACTTTCTGCCTGGATGATCAGGATTCACTTTGGCAGCCCTTGCAGCAGGGACCCAAAAGACTCAAGCAAAGGCAGCTGCCTGTCTCTTTTCCTCTGAAGGGTGAAAAGGTTTAGGGAGGGGCTCCCTCATTTGGACTGAAAAGTCAAGGCCAGGCTACAGCTGAGTTTGGGGCTTTGTGCCACCCCTTCCTTTAGCTCCCTTTCCTCATCCTGATGCCAGAATACCTCTGAAGGGGCTCCTGGCCCTGTACTTTGTAATAGTTCCCATGGGCCATGCTGCAAATATTGCCCAAGTGCTCCAAGAAAACTCTGCCTGTCCTTGAGAAATCACCAGTGGGGGTGGAGATGGCACCAATTTGCAGTCAAAATCAGAGGTGGAGAAGCCAGGTAGAGGCAGATGATGCAGATCAGGGGACCCAGAGAAGAAGGGAGAATCCCAGGATCCTGGCAGACTGTCGAAAACTGTATGGACCCAGTGCCATGCCTAGTGGCACAGCCTCCCCTTCCACCAAGTCCTGTAAAGGGGTTTGCTGCTCTCTCCAACACCAACAGTTATTGTGAAAATCAATAAAGAATATGGATGTAAACAGCTCTATAAGCCAGAGAATACTGATAAAACAATAGGGGACAGTCACATTGTGGATGTTGTGACACAAAATTGTTCATGTTAAGATGGTTAGTTTTATGGTAGATAAATTTCATCTGAATGAATTTTTTTAATGAAATTTATAAGAACTCTGTAGTATATCACACTCCTTGGGACATTTTAGTGGGGTTTTACATGTCAAAATTCTTTTTTAAAAAATAGAAACTGGAGAGGAATGACTTAATAATTGGCAGTGCTTTCTTGTATATGGTTCCAAAATCATAAGTGACAAAAGAAGAAATAGTTGTATTAGTCATCAATATGAAAAACTTTGGTGCATCAAAGGACACTACCAAAAGAGTGCAAATACCCAGGTATGACGGTGCACACCTGTAATTCTAGCACTAGGGAGGCTGAGGTAAAAGGATCACAAGTTCCAGCCCAGCCTAGGAAACTTAGTGACTTAGCCAGACTCTATCTCAAAATAAAAATTAAAAAGGGGTGAGGATGCAGCTCAGTGTGAAGGCCCTGGGTTCAATCCCCAGTACCTTGGGGAAAAAAAAAGAGACCAAAGGCCACTTGCAGAATGGGAGAAAATATTTGTCAATCAGATAGCTGATAAGGGATTAATTTTCAAAACATATAGAGAGCATCTACAAATGAAAACCAAAAATCTCAAAAAGTGGATCAAAGACCTGAATAGATATTTCTCTGAAGAAGTTACACAAATGGCCAATAATCACAGGAAAAGATACTTAACAACTCTAATCACTAGGCAAATGCAATTCACAGATACATTTGGTCAACTAATTTAAAACAATCACTGAAAGTATTGGCAAGGGTGTGGAGAAATTAGAACTCTTGTACACTATTTGTCTTACCTTCTCATTCCTAGGACAAAATACCCAACACCAACAAGTTAAATTCAGAAAGTTTGTTTTAAGCTCACGTTTTATAGAGATTTCAGTCCATAGTCTGGTTTCAAGGCAGGACAGCATGACAGAGGAGAGATAGTTCATGGCATGGCAGGCAGGAGCCTTCCTTCTTTCCCTTTTTATTCCATCCAGGCTACAAGCCTACTGCTTGGCGCCATCCACACCCAGGGTGGGTCTTCCCTCTTCAGTAAATTCATCATCCATACCCAGAACTATGCTCAACCAGTCAGTGAACTGATCCAGTATTAGAAACACCCATGATCCAGCCACGTTCCAAAGCCTCACCTACAAGCACACAAGGCTTCAGGGAGACATCCAGATATAAACCATAGCACTATTGGATGAGAATGTGAAACGATGCAGCCACCTTGTGGGAACAGATAAGTTAAAAAAAATTAAGTAGAGGTTCCTTTAGTTCCAATAATGCTTGTGGCCCTAGTACCACCCTGTTTAATACAGCTCCCCAAATGGCTTAGAACACAACTTTCTCAGATTTTTGTTGTTGTTGTTGTTGTTGCTTCTTCAGGGCCACATGTGATATGATGTAACCTGTTGCAGTATATTTATACAGACAGACACAGGAAACCAGTTTATTGAGGACTTGGGGTAGGGAGATGTGGGAGAAAAATGGTCTTACTTTTCCAGGTTAAGAAAAAAACAACAACAGCAAAATAGGGGACAGATAAATGAGTAGGGCTCTCCGTGTTCTGCTCCAGAATAGCATCATTTGTCCCCTGAAGAACAGCAGGAGCAGGCTGTGTTTGTATGAGCCTCAAGGAGTTACAGCAGGTGGACACACAGCAGCCTGAAGCTCATCCCAGCCAGGAGTGGGTCCCTTCTACCAGGCTAACTGTGCAAACCCAAGGTTCTGGATTTGGAGCTAGAAAGGCTGGCTCTGCCCCAAGCTGGGTGAGCCCCAATCTCCCTGAGCCTCAATTTCCTCGTCTGTAAAAATAGAGCAATAGCTATCTTGCAGAGCTGCTGGAAAAATTAAACAAACCACCAATGTGGAAAAGCCCCTCACAGAGAACAGGACATGCCAGCATGATTGGTATAACTGCATAGACAAGGCAGTTCTCATACCTGCATTAAAAGTCAAACTTTGGAGCATATGCAGCCCTGTGCAATCAACCATGCCCATCGCTGCCTCACTTCTGAGCAACAATAGAGCTGAAAGCCCCAATATACATCCTTCCTAGCCCAACACACACTTGCCTACTTGGCCTGGCACCCTCTGACTAGTCCTTCACTCTTCAGTACTTTAGGATCCTGTACTCGGGATTATAACTGCTTTGTTCTCAGTTATCCAGTACCAGTTCTGATCCAGTATTTGCTCAGCATTTCACCTTGTATAAGTTCATCTCTCTGGGCTTTGATTTCTCACTATACAGTGGGAATAATAACACTAGTACCCACCTTCAAAGATGTCCTGGGAGTTCCCTGTCACACAGACCATGGTTGGTAGCAATTATGCAATTAGCATGGTCTTCTCCTATGATGTCTCACAGGAATTGCCAGAAGGGTCTATCCCCCAATTTAATGGAGGGTAGGGATCAGGCTAGATTGGCGCAGCCTCCCAGAGTGCATGGCACTAGCCAGCCACACGTAGCCAACA